TCCTAGTTTGTTCTTTGTTGTGTTGGTTTATTTTTGGTTGCCTCATCACTTAATTATTTTTGTAATAATCATTCCTTTTTTGTTGAGAAAAGTGGGGGGGGGGGGGGGGGGGTGGGTGGGGGGGGGGGGGGGGGGGGGGGAAAGAAAGAAATTTTTTTGATATTTGTTGGGGGATAAGATGTACGCGTTAAGACCTTGTTTGTTGATTTGTTCTTCAGCGAATTGTCATTACATGTAATATTTATATTAGGTGGCGCTCATATGACCTTATGTTGTTGCGAACGCTGTAAAACCTCTACTACTCTACTAAAATAATTTATAGAAGCAGACGCGCTTTAAGGAAAAGATTGGAAATGAAACAATACAAGTAATCATACGTGCAATACACGCTTCTAATTCTGGAGAATTATAAGTTAATGTGACTGAACTCCTGTCATATTCTACTGCACACTTTGGAGGGACACATGTATATGTGATGCATCGTGGTGAAATCAGGCGTTCGTCAAAAGTAATGAAATCGAAGAAACTGGCATTTTTCTGTCGTTTGACAATTTTTATCGAATTTTTGTTGGTGACTCAGCACCTTTAAGGTCCATTTAAAACCCCATTTCTATTTGTATTTTACTGAAAAATGTTGATTTAAGGAACAGAAATGTTAATTTGCAGTTTGTAAGTATTTTCAAGCTTTGGAAGTCGCCAAAATGTGGGTGCCATTTTTACGCTAATCTTACTTCTGAAATCAAGCTACTCCCACCTCCTTCAATCGCTAATATCTCGACTTCTATTCTTGGTAGATGAGTATTCTTTTCACTAAAAGCAAAGCAAATGAACAAGCTTTAAGATGATACCAATTACTCCACATGTCCAAAAATTGACGAGCGCCCGATTCTACGGTGTCTTGATACATATGTCGACATCGCTAATCGACCCATGACATTTCAAATCGACCCTTTCATTTGAGAGGAAAAGTCAACTGCCTTAGCCTCGTCTGCGGATATGGGTGAGGCAAAATGTTCGCCAGTTAAACTTGAGCATCACTTACTAAAATGTAGTGTCACATGTACAGTCCCAAGAATTTGGGAATATGGAGCCTAATTTCTAAAGAGTCAAGAACTTAGTGACTGGTCAGAGTTTACCAGGATACAGCAGAACTGACATTTTCTTCAACTCCAAGAAGACTTAAACTACTAAAAGTCGAGATATATCGAATTGAAGCAGGTGAGTTCACTTGTTCTCAAAAGTAAAATTAGAGAGAAAATGGCCGCGAAAGTTGGACGACTTCCAAAATTGAGAGTCATTGGAAAATATAATTTTAAATTTTTGTTCCTTTAAACAACAATTTTCAGTAAAAGGCCACACAACAATGTTCTTTTAAATGGACATAAAATGATGCAGAGCCAAAAATGTAAAAATCCATAAAAATTGCTAATTGGGAAGAAAATTGTCGTTTTCTTTGATTTCATTTTTTTAGGAGCGCCTGATTTCACCACGTGATGCCTCACATATTATGTTTCACTCTCCCGACGACATCAACTTATCGTAGTCGACTTGAGCTGGCAAAGCTCGGATCTGAGTTCAGTGCTATACTTATATAAAAAATATCGATATTTGCCATTTGGCGACCATCTTGGATTTCAGACCCCATGGGTTATGCCTACTTTTTTAAAAAGAGGCATGGGGACTAATTTTCTTATTTAGACCTTAAAGATGGTAAAACAAGTGAGAAACATACAATGGGAGCCTCTGGTCACGGAACTATGGTTTTTCACATTTTGACTCAAATATAGGCCTACTGTACTTTGCAAAATCTCAAGTCTTTAAAAAAAGCACAAAGTTCATTTCAACGATAATAGGTTCCATTGTCATCATTATCATCGCCGATGTTTCACAACTCCATCGGCACAAAATACAACAAATAGGATGCAAGCTGCTTCAACTCTGCCTGCCGACGACAGTCCGGCCGGGACGAGTGGGCTAAAGCATCCCGGCAAACGGACTAGGATTCTGGATTTAATAATAATTCTCCCACTTTTAAAAAACGATCTTCTACGTACTAGGACGAAGAGGCTAACCAATACACTACATTCTCCAGCGAAGCTACTATGGGACGCCTTAGTGCATAGAGGACGTTACCATCAATAACTACCTGTAATAATTCTTCCACTTTTGGTGTTTTTCTTGTCAATAGTGCTTTTTCCAATTTGGTGTGAAACCTTTGACCTTCTTGTTCAACAAGAAAACATAAGCCTATCTTTAGCATGAGAAGCATACTCTTAAAGATTCTTCACTCCCTTTCAACACAACAAGGTGTGAATAGAATAGAATAGAATATATTAGGAGACAGAATCTCCAATTTAGACCTACACCTCCGACAGGCCAAACTCACCACAAAGAACAAGTGCGTTGGGTACCGGTGGATCAGTTTCATTATCGAGTCAAATGTATTCCTGTCCTGACATAAGGTACTACTTAGGAGTGAATCTGACCTTTAACCCTAGTTGTTTGAATATTTTGGCTCCTTTCCCAACCACAATTTTTCAAGACAGTCATACATTGAGAGGGCCCGCCTCTTTAGATAGGCCTACTGCTGACCCAATTTGTGTTGAAAGTAATCCAGGAAAAACATATTAAGATCAATATTAGACCTACAAATACATGCAGATGTGGTAATGTCTTCCAAACATCGCCTGTGTTGCCCATTTTACACCGGTGGAGCGGACATCGTCCAGAATGTTGAGGAATACTCTTGGCATGTTGTTATTGTTTATTGATCAAGCAACAGTTGGACTCTCGCCCATCTGTCCAATGCCATTTAATGTAGTCACAATGTAGTGGTAAGTGAGTGCAGGTTTGTTGCAATTGCTGTAATGTTTCATAGAGTGTGTTATATCAATGTTTGGTCTCGGAGGGACTCTTGGTGCACCGGTAACTCTTGGTGTCATTTAAGGTTCTGCAGTGGAACAGGGGATGATGCACGTTTGCGTAGTCACATAAAGGACATATTGACGGGAAGTTCTGGATTTATTGTTTAGGTGGAAAATGAGCTCTTGACATGAAATCTGTATTCTTGAGCCAGAAATGTCGCTTTAAAAGGATGTCGTATTGACCAAAGGCTGTAACTTTAAAACACTTCGATTCGATTAAATTCTAAGCACTCCTCTGTGCTTATAGGGTACCGGTACACAATTGTATTCATGTACATGTATTATTACTTTGCCCCCAGCACCATTGACTGGCGTCTGTGGTATACTTTCTCAATTACACACAGGAGACCCGAGTTCGAGGGGAGACAATGTGGTTAAGTACGCATATCTGTCTTTTTAGTGGGATGTATCCCTCTCAGCAAGGGTTGTCCCTGACAGTGACAGGCAGGGTCAAACGCTCATCTCCTCATCATCATCCGGTGCCTTGCCGACTGGCGTGGGCGATCATGGACCTCCACTTTACTCTATCTTGCGTTGCAGCAATGGTGTCTGTTGTTCTTGCTGCTCCCAACAATGTTGTCTTCTTGTCCAGTATCTTTTCCCTCTGTCTCTCTTTCCATCAAAGTTGCCATCATATTCTCCAATGCTTCTTTCCACATTGTGTGTCAGAAGAAATTTGCCTGTCGCTTTCGTATATTCGTCATAAGCTGCCTTCTGCAATTTGCTCACCTCCTAAATGATCTAAATTGTGTCGCTGGAGGGGAAAAACACTCACAATTAATGTTATTTTTTTCCAGAAATGACAAGGAATGCTCTTGGCGTAAGATCTGTATTCGTGAGTCTGAAATGTCGCATTAAGAAGGGAAGTTAGGTTGACCTAAGGCTGTGGCATCGTTTTAGTTCAGAATTCTATGCACCCGACTGTACCTCTACAGTAGACGGCTATTGATTCTTCTGACCACAGCACCACTGATGGGGGCATGTTTTTACACGACAGCATACTTTCTTCCTACAGCAAAGCGTTATTCTTCTCCCAGAAGGACATAATATTTAGATCTATGTCGTCTCCAAGGACATCGATTTATTATTTTTAAAATGGCAAAAGTATATACTTTTAACATTCACGTCAAACTTTCTTGGCAGAGACATTAGTAGCAATAGTTTGCCATTGCTCTTTACAAAAGCAGTGTCCTTACTGGGTGGGTGTTTTTGTCATTGTACCAAAGTTGGCATCTTCCGCCTTGTGTATAAAGGTGGAAACCAGTTCTGAAGCTCCTTCACCGTTTCCCCACTGGGGGGGGGGGGGGGGGGGGGGGTGGCTATGCAGATGCTCCACTTTGTTCAAGGGTGGCTTGAATGCTCTTGGAGTGAGGGAGGCACTTTAATTCCCCTGTTAATAGAGATATTTCTCTGCCCCACCACCCCAAATTAAGGACGTAATGAAACTGAAACTGAACCCTCACCCAAAAAGATGTTTTGGTAAGTGTTTTGCTGCACTCGCAACTACATAAGGTCATATTATGAGCGCGCAGGACACATTGAACATTTTCAGTTCGGCCGCCAAGCCTACTCTTGTCGATTTTGGACCACCAAGGGATCTTTAACGTGCACAACTTATCCGAGAAGGTTAGGAGTTAGATCTTACCTACCATAAGATCAGGAGAGTTGCTGAAAGAGAGCCAAGGAGTCGTAGTAGAAAGGCTGCAGAAAGAGCCAGGAGCACAGAGAAGGGAGGAAAGGGAAAGAGAGCCGGGGGCAGAAAGTGGAGAAGAAAGCAGATGATAGAACATGGGTAAATGATGCGAAAGGATAACATTTTAGAGAAGAAAGTGTTCCGTGGCTGTCAGATTTCGAACCCGGCACCTATCGGATGAGAGGCAAACACTGTAAACCCCTAAACCACGAGAGACGCCAAAACGGCAAGTAAACAATTATGGAAACAAAAGTAGGATCAGCAACAGTTATGATCACATAACACAAACTATAAAAATTATGATACAGATATATATATATTTACATTTACACTATACATGTATTCCTTTATTTGCTAAATTTGACGGAACAACACAAAACATTTGGATTGGACATATTCTGTTTTTTATTAACATGTAGTAAACCGAGCATAGCATCTGGACAAATGCAGAAGGAGACGTTAACAAATCCGTGTTGAAAGAAACAAACTGAAAATGTTTTGTCAAAGACTTGGAACGTCAAATAGAGGCAAACACTTGGCGTAATGTATCACCATGGTTTCAGAATATAGGGAAGTTATGAGCTCATGACTCGAAAGCAAAATGTTGCAAAGTTAAAAAAAAAAAATTACAGTATAAATTGTTCAAAGCGGCAACCCATTGTCGTGAAGATAAGTAGCTGTCAAGGGCAGATGGGCATTTTACTCAGTGTCGTTATAATGTAAAAATACATGTTGGCAAGAGAGAAAATGGGAAGTGGCCCTTTGTACAAGTAATTGTCTTATACGGTTAGCACACATTCGACTGTACACATGTTTTTTCCGATCTGGAGCGCAATCAGACTACATATTCCTCTGAAAAGAGTAGTTCGAGCGTTCTGTATTTGAAGGAAAAATGCACGTTTTCTCAAAAAGATTATTTTAAAAAGCAAGCAATAAAGGAAACATAAAAGGCAACAGTTTTGTTCCTCTGTTTGGGTATTGTATTTCTTAAAAGGGCAATCGACACTATAATTTGGTCACGTCAACGCCACGCCTGGACTTGGCCATTTTGTGTAGGAGATTTTACACTCCTATCGACACAATTCAGATACTTTAAGATAAGAGGCAGGTTTTGACACTGCCTGTCCAGGGCAAACTCGAGCTAAGAGGGATACCTACAACTTCCTGGAAGAAAGACCAAGATACCGGTACTCGATAAAAATAATTACCACACGGGAATTGAACTCATCTCTTCTGCGTGTGACAGGGAGGGGCTTCACCACATACCCGAATAGAATAGGACTTTCATCTTTAGCTTTAACGGAATGTGTCGATGGGGTCTTAAAATTACATATGTATATACAGGGTAATTCAAAAAGAATAAACCAAAATTATCACACAATATTTCAAAAATCAAAAACCGGTGGTGGCCACATTAAGCAAATGTAAAACTTGAAATAAAAAAAACCTGAAGGTATGTACAACACGTGTCCAAGCTGGAGTTTTCTATTGATTTCTTTTTTTTTGGGTTGAAATATCGTATGATGATTTTGGTGTATTCATTTTGAATCACCCAGTATATAACATGTCCAGAGTCAATTTATTGGATTTTTAGGCCAAATTATCCTGGTGCGACAGCTTATGACGAATATACGAAAGCGACAGGCAAATTTAATTTGACATACAACGCGGAAAGATATATTGTAACATGAGGCAAGTTTGATGGAAAGAGAGGCAGAGACTGAAAGAGGGAAAAGATACTGGACAAGTTGACACCATGGCTGGGAGCAGCAAGAGCAACAGAAACCATTGCTGCAACGCAAGACAGATGGAAGTGGAGGTCCATGATCGCCCACGCCAGTCGGAAAGGCACCGGGTGATGATGATCCTGGTACAAAAACAAACTGGGGTCTCCTGGAGTCATTTCAAATATTCCTTGCACTTGCACGCATCTTTTCCACCAAAAAGCTTGCTTGCCCTATCCTCATGTCGTGACGCCCATGGATCATCTGTGGTCTGTACGGCCGTGATCCATAGAGGCAAATCATGACGTGGTTGTCCATCCGTTCAGAGCATCGAATGTTGCTCTTTGGGCTGCTCAAGGGGACAAAATCAGTTTTCACAATGATCTCAGATTTTGTTAAAATTATCTGGCAAATCACTGTGAAAACCAGTTTTGTGAGAATGTCTTTGACCTTTGCTCTTGCTAACGCCTGTGAGAAAGATAGAACTCGCTCGCACTGCAACAAGAAGAAATATAATAATATAATTCCCATTACCTACCTACATTTTCATACATTCCCTTATCGCTGCACTCTAAGAGCACCAGCCTGCTCACAAAGGTTCACGCTTAATAAAGTTGATAAAACACTTTTCACCACATTCCCAGAGGTAGGCTACAACTCTCAGCCTGGTGCTGTAGTGAGGTACAAAGAGGCCGTCCTATAAAACAAAATTTAGTTTAGTTTCGTAAGAGCTTTACGGCACTTGCACAATAAGGTCATATAAGTGCCGACGAATAGTAGATGTATTACAAGAGAGTAACATATACAAAAAAAGGAGGAGAGATAAGGACGATAGATGTTTGATAGTAATGATAGGAAAGAAGAAGCAAACCACACCAGAGCACCCGCCAACCACCCACTAAAACAAAGTAAATCATGCCTAGATGAGTTTCAATACTACCATAACAAGAGATTAGTTATTGTAAATTTTAACCCCCCCCCAAAAAAATAAATAAATTAAAAACAATAATTAATTAATTAATTTAAAAAATTTAAAAATTAAATTACATTCTTCCACTTCCACCCATTCGGACCTCACTTGACCTTGATATTTTAACATACACAGGATTTCCGTTCTCCGTGACGTCATGTTTGGATGATCGTGATGTGACGTCCAGCGAAGAAGACTAATAATAGTACGAATGCTTTTGGGTGGGAGGGGTAAGG